ACTGGATGTGCACAGATTTACTGATTTTTGTTACATTCTTCTGTTTGACAGTTCTGCTAAAAAATATCAGCTTAGATTTGTATTTCTAAACTTTAGAGAGCTTTTTAAAACAACAGCTATCCTGAAGGTTTTTAGTTATACACAACTTACTGCTCTACAAAAGTCAGAGTTCAGAAACCAGCTGTTTGCTCTGGAACACCCTCTCAGTTGGAATTGGATGCTTTGGATAATAGCACATCTGTTGGTTTACAATTTGTGCTCTTTTGTGTTCTTTCCATTCACTGTGCTGACTGAGAGCGTGTTGTTAAATGCAAAACTGGAATCGGTTCACATTATGTTTACACAATCTTTTGGGTCTTTTCCTGGTTTTGAATATTAATGCATATGAAGACTTTTTAGAGTTCTGTCATCTGTTCTGTCTTCTATTTAGTAAAGTCAGGGGTTATTGAATATAATCTCTATTTTTTATGTTATATTTTCACTTAAATATGAAGTCTGGAAAAATGGAAACAAACATATACTCAAAGCCAGTATTCAGAGAAGGAAAATTCCCATCCCACCCTCTTTATTGCAAGCTATACTTCCTTTCCTGCTAATATTTTCTTCTCACATTTCGGAGATGTGGAGTCACAGTACCTAACTGGAAAAACATCAGTAAATGTAGTTTCCATCTATTAAAATTGATGCACTCTTAGCTTAGGGCCTGTTACTTTGAGAATGTCCATATTCGGCATGTTTTCTAAGGAATGAGTTAATAAGCAACACTTCAGTCAGAGTAAGCTTAATTTTACACTTTAATCACTATTAGTGCACAGATTGAGGCAGTTTATAAGCAGTTTTGTTTGTTCGTTTATTTAAAGTATGTATTTTGCTGCTTTGGGTGACTTACAACAGCCAAGAAAACAAGAGAAAGATTGAATGAAAATTCAGACAACCATGTTCATACCTGCTTTTCGATAGGAACAATTATTCCAGCCCCAGCATCTAGGGAAATATTTAGGTTACTAAAACCTTTCTGAAGGCCAGCAGGATCAGGGCCAGCAAAACATTGGAAGAGAAGTGGGCGGATCGTTTCACAGGACATGGAAAAAGCATTGTTTCAGGGAAGGGACCCAAAATGTACCTACCCAAAATAATGAATGGGATTGGGTAATGTCATTGGAAATAACCCAGTCCTGTGCCATGGAGGGCTTAAGGTGATAACAGCACCTTAATTGTTGGTTGGGGGAAGAAAAACAATTGCAATTGCATTCTCATAATGATCTCATTCCATCTTTTGGCTTTGTTTTGTTTTGTTTATATACTCATTGTTTAAAGGAGATCCCAGAAAAGCTATGCTGATTCGCAGTGACTAGGCTGTTCATACTATTCCATTATAAAGCACAAAGCTTTCAAATATTTAGGTATCCACTTTTAATTTTCCACCAGTTAAAAATCACACATTTTAAAAGATACAATGAGTGGTGAAAAGGCTTCCACTATCATTAGATTCACTAGTTTCATTAGTTACACATTTATAGCCAAGATGCTAAGCAATGTTCCCCAAAAATAAGACCTACCCCGAAAATAAGCCTAGATTGATTGTTTGGGGTGAGCCTAATATAAGCCTTACCCCCAAAATAAACCCTAGTTTATAAACCCTAAAAATCAAGCTAGGGTGGGGGTGGAGCTACCCCATGGGCCCTGCACCCTCTTACCGTTGCAGCCAGGCCTCCCATGCCCTGACACCTGCCTCACCGGCCTACTTGCCACCACTCATATGCATGTGTCACCCCCGGCCTCCATTTCACCATCAGGGGCCTTTAGGAAATACCTTTGCAGCTGAGAATGGAGCTCTGGATTGATGACCGCTGCGCCCTGCAGCCTCCAATTCATCATCAAAGGCCTCTGTAGCCGAGAACCAAACTCCGGATTGACGTACGCAATGCCCTCTGGCAAATTGGAGGCTGGGGGGCACCATGCACATCAATCCGGAATTCCATTCTCAGCTGCAGAGGCTGAGGAATTTCCTGAAGGCCCCTGACGGTAAAAATGGAGGCTGGGGGCGATACACGCATCAATCCAGAGCTCAGTTATCGGCTGCAAAGGCCTTTCCTGAAGACCTCTGAGGGTGAATTGGAGGCGTGGGGTGGGTGCCTCACATGTCAATCTGAAGCTCCATTCTCAGCTGCAGAGGCATTTCCTGAAGGCCCTTGACGGCGAAATGGAGGCCAGGGAGCACTGTGTGCGTCAATCCAGAGCTTGGTTCTCAGCTGCAGAGGCCTTTCCTGAAGGCCTCTGATGGCAAATTGGAGGCTGGGGGGCACCGCGCATGTCAATCTGGAGCTCCATTCTCAGCTGCAGAGGCATTTCCTGAAGGCACTGATGGCAAAATGAAGACAGGGGACGACGCATGCGATCAGTGGCAAGCAGCCGCAGAGGAATTGGGCTGGCTTGGCGGGGCTGTCGGTGCTGCCACTGTGAGGTGAGACCATGGAAAAGACATCCCCCGAAAATAAGACCTGGTGCCACTTTTGGAGGCAAATAAATAAATAAAATAAGACCAGATCGTATTTTCAGGGAAACACAACAGATAATCGGTTAGATGTAATTTCGCTAAAATTTATGAGAATCATGTTTTAAGTTTTTAAATCTGTACCAAACATATTTCTTTGACTTATATTGGTTTTGCTTCTGTGGAGACTCACCAGAGAATTTGACATAGACCAGAGGTCTTATGGACTTCAACTCCCAGAATTGTCCCGCTGGGACACCCTGATGTAGATGATGAAACAAGTGTTCTACTGTGGATCCCTGATCTAGTTTATTCTCTGAGGTTTCTCCTGTTGCAGCCTCTTAACTCAATCTTTGTTAACCAGAGAAAGATCTCTTGGGGGTTATACAAAGTGGTGGAAGGATACTGCAATTCCAAAACTTTCAACTGTTGCTATGAGAATCTCTGCAAATAGATGATTTGATGTTATATTTTTCTAACATAATCTCCACCTCAGGTGGTGGGTGTCGATACTGGCAAATTTAATGCCTTATTCTCAAAGATGTTGAAGGGGAGTTTCAATAACTTTTCATATTCAGAGCCCCTAACTGTGTCATCCACTTTATCTTGAGTTGCTGTATCAGTGAAGTGGGTGGCATAGAATTTTATTTAATAAATAAAAATAAAAAACGTAGCAGATTGGTTTATCAACATTTCTAAAATTGATAAATTGGGCTCAGTTGCAAATACAGGTAGTCCTCAACTTATAACAGTTCATTTAGTGACCATTTGAAGTTACAACTGCACTGAAAAATGTAACTTATGACAATTTTTCACATTTATGACCGTTGTAGCATCCCTGTGGTCATGTGATTTACATTCAGATGCTTGACAACTGGTTCATACCGGTATTTATGATGGCTGCAGTGTCCTGGGGTCATGTGATCCTCTTTTGCAACCTTCTTACAAACCAAGTCAATGGGGAAGCCAGATTCACTTAACAACTATGTTACTAAACAACTGTAGTGGTTCACTTAACAAATGTGGCAAGAAAAGTTGAAAATGGGGCAAAACTCACTTAACAAATTTCTCACTTAACAACATAATTTTGAACAATTGTGGTCATAACTTGAGCACTACATGTACATTCAGAAGATGCTGGGTTTGAATCATACTTACATGAATATTAAGGAAATATTTATTGTTTTCTAGGGAATATGCATTTTTTTATTTTTCACCATACTGTACATTCAAAGAATAAATGAATTAAAAAATTGTGCAGTTGCAAAATATCTAAACTTTGTTGGAATTATTTAAACATTACATGTTTATGAAAATACTGCCTTTTTATAGATGGCAAATTTGGTGATATTTCTCCTACATGTAATAAAATTTTGCTGAAAACTAAAATTTTGGTTCAACTGTTCAAATATCCTGTGTAAGCAGTACATGTAGAGTGATAATAATGGGGTTTTCATTTAGTGGAAATGAATGATCATATGTTCCATTTTCTATTTTCAAATGTTGGGGAATATGTGGAAAATAAGAGATCACAATGTTATGCTTAGTATTTAGAAAAGGAAAATAAAGATTATCAAAATGAAATTCCATCTTTTTGGTGCATCAATGTTTATCGATATCCCAATTTAATACAGAGGTAAAGTAATTTGCTGGCAAAAAACCCTACCTATATTTCAATCATATTATAATTTATTTGTAATATCTTATATCTTTATAAACACAATATATATGTAAATATTCATTGTTACCTATCTGATTAAAATCCATATATGAAGGCAAAATAAATATGAATGTTGATTAAAAATACCACAATAGCCTTGTATTGTTGATGAAGTGAATATAAGCCAAGTTTGATTATTTTTGCCCTATGTTGCAATATATGTCTGTGTATTGTTTAGTGATAGTTTCATTGATGTATATTGCATTCTAGATAATTTATATTCTGTAACAAACATAAGTTACTCATTAAATATACTTGAAATGTACTTTGTAGCAAGTGAACAATTGGTGGTACTCATGATATCAACAATGATTTTATGTAACCCAAAAGGTAAATAATGCCTGTAGGCAATAAAATAAAATAAAATAGGGTGATGATGATAATGAGCCAAAATCTCTTGAAATGTTATGCAGCAGGATGAATGTTTTATTATTTCTCATGAGAGAGCAAAGATAGTAAAGTATCTTTGTAAAATTAGTAAGTAAAGATAGTAAGGAATAAAATTAGTAAAATTATGTGAAATTTGATTTTAGTTTTCATTTTATGTTTGAGTGTCCTGTCAACTGAAAAGATGGCTGATCTTTTTATTATTCATATTATAATTAAACATCTTTGGATTCAATTTATGTTTTTTAAGTGAACTATTACCTACTAGCCATCTGTTTCACTTCAGTACAGTATTAACTTCAATTTATTCTTCTGACAGTGGATAGCTCCCTGAATAATTTCATATTTATGAAGTGAATTTGGCAAAATATGAATTTTTTCATGAATGTTAAGTTTATACACAGACACACATACCTACGTACATAAACCATAAAATGGTTTAATGCTTGATAACTGAAATACCAAGAGATTTTTAAATCTACTATTGCAATGGTTTTGCTGCAAGCCTAAATTATACAAACAACATTGTCATGGCATTTGTTTTTTTCACCTAAATGTTTCTATGATATTTAAAATGTCTTCATAGTCTGCTATTAATAGTTCGAAGATCTAAAATCTAAGATTTTAATGGCTATTGAGATTTTCTATGTAAAAATTGTTTCTATATGCAAAATATATTGATTGGCTTCAGGTGGTTTACTGCATTTTCCAGGTTATTCTGTTTTCTTTTATACTTGATATTTTTTGTTTGTTTGTTTAATAGTATTACTACCTCTTAAAATTGTTAATAGAAGTAAGGATCCAGGTAGTTGTTATTGTCAGTTTCTCTGGATTCGTGATCATGACTGTTATCTTGTTCTTCATGAAAATCTTCTGCTTCTTCAAATTCTTCTGGAGTTAGAAATCTTCGGAACACAGGGGTTCTCAGTTGTGTTTGCTGATCTTTGCTAAGTTTTTGTTCTCCGTAATAAATGCTGCGCACAAGTGGAAAGCAGAAGAATGCATAGGTGCTGATTGGAGCTGTAAGCTTATTTTGGTCCACTCGTATGTAAGTTAAATGTTTGAGGTTCAGCGGATCAATAGTAGGACACATTAAGGTAACATTCATGACTGTAAAAAGACAAAAACAATGTTTATTAAAGTAAATAGGTTCTTGCAAGATATTCCAAAGTAATGTTTTCCTGTTATGAGAACAAAACCAATAACCAGAAAGCTTCTATCATTGTTGATTTACTTAAACTGAAACTGGTTTTTTTTTTCAGTCTCCACCACTCTGTTAATCTAGATTCCTCAATCATTGATATGGGACAAAAACCCAGCATCAAATAAAATCTAAACTGAAGGTTTGAGAAATTATGGCCATTTTTTTAGCATAACAAATCCTATGTAGGGATTTGGCATGCTTGTGTATCTTTTAACCAAAAGGCTAATTGCAACATAGGAAATTAATTGAGTCATAATTCCTACATGTTTTCTTCCCATATCTAAATATGCTAGTTAAAATTCCATATGGTTGCTAGCTAATTTAGTACCATATGCATTTAGTATAAGAACCTTTTAAAAACTAATTCACTAATACATATATTGTAGTGTATTAAATATATTTCAAGTAAAGGTAAATGTTAGAAAAACTACATTTATAAAAGCAATTAACTAACCTTCTATTTCATTATCTTCTAAGTATAAATGTTGTAGGGTTCTTGGAATATAGAAAATTTGTTTCAATTTGTTATGCCCAAGATTAAGTTCCAGAAGATTAGAGAACATAAAAGCATTATAAGGAATTTCTTCAAGATTATTGTGTGACATTCTTAAAGCAGTAAGATTTGGAAGCTTGTGGAAGTAATTATCTGGAATGGAAGAAATGGAATTATTTTCAAGTGAAAGATACATCAGTGAAGGTGGTGGATCTGGAAGCACAGACTGTAGCTTGTTGTTACAAAGGTTAATCTGCATTAGGTTTCTCATACTTGAAAAGTCTATTCCTTTGAGCTGGGAATCCTCAAGATAATTATTACAGAGGTCAAGCATTGTTAAATGTATTAAACCTTCCAAGGCTTTGCTGTCTGACTTGGAAATTTGATTGAAACCCAGGATCAACCTTTCTAAGCTTCCAGGTAATGGGAATGGAATTTCTTCTAGCTGATTATACTCTAAATGAAATTGTATGAGGTTTGCGAGTTTGACGAATACACCATTGTCAATCTTATGAGACTTGATTTTGTTGTGGCTAAGATTAATTTCTTTCAAAGCTGTGGCATTAACAAAGGATTCCAGAGGCACAGCTTCAATCTCATTATGCTGCAGATAAAGTTGTTGGATGTGAGCAGGAATTTTTGGTATTGTCAGAAGCTTGCGATGATCACAGTACATGGATGTTGGGAAAGTAGATGGACAGAAGCATTCTTTTGCACACTCAGCAGGTATGGTGGAGTACGGAATGTTATATTCTACATGAGGAATTTGATGAAAAATAGATGGATATTCACTATCTACTTCATGTTCGTATTCATCCTCAAAATCATCACTCTCATATTGACCAAATACTGACATTTCAAAGAGAAGAAAAATAGTTAACAGTTGATTTGGTTTTGCCACATTCATTGTCTGCATGTTTATCCTGCAGAAAGAAGAAAACAAATTAAGTACATTAACATTAAAAAGTTGATAACAAAGGAAATACTGGTATTATATAATTAACAGAACAATGTTGTCTTTGTTTTGTCTAGGAGCTAACACTTCTACATATTTAAGATTTAAAATCATCCTAAGCTTGGAATTAAAATTCTTTTTTCTGTTTGCATTTACCTTGAATGAGTACAACATTCAGTAGACTTAGCTAAACACTGTAGCATTAAAAAGATTTGTTAGTGCTTAGTGGCATACAAAAGATAAGGCACACATATTTACCTTATTTTAGGACTCTGTATATACATTTTCCCATTGTCTATTTTGATCTCTTCCTTCAGTTGAAATTATCCAATATGAGTGTTCAACTTAATAGCATAAATTATTATATTTCATATTATAAACATTGGTGTTAACTTAATAAGACATTGATTACTGTGGTTCCATTGGAATTTCTTTGCCAGTGAAAAATGGCTAATGTTTTAAAGCAGGCATGTCAAACTTGCGACGTTGTGCTACGTATCGCGACTTTTTCCCCATTGCCAGCAATGGGGTGGGCGCGGTTTCAGTATGATGCAGTTTGACATGCGTGTTTTAAAGTATAATATGGCAATCCTCTGGCTTCAAAGACAAACGCTGCATGCAGTTCATCTCGGGACCTGTTGGTGGCTCTGCAGCCCAATCTGAAAGCACAGAGTCTAGCACATCATGTCAGCCTTCCCAGGTAAGCCAGACAGGAAATACGACTACAGGAACTAATTCTACTTTTTTATGAAGCTATGTGAACAGAATCTTGCAGGTCTAAAACTAGAAACTTTCTGCCATCACTTTTAACCATTTGATCAATTGGGGTAGGTCCTCCCTAACTCTTAAACTACTGGGGACTCCTACTTCACTTGTCTGTTGGTTTCCTAGACAGCATCTCTTCCACAAGGTCATCCACACATTCCCTTACAATTGTTTCTGCAGTCTGATTTGCTTCCCTTTTATAGAGAGCCACATTGTAGAAAAACACATACATCATGGAGTGGTTTCTTCCCTATCATTAGGGATTTTCAACTAGAGGCTAGATATGAATGAAAGCGAATCTGTGGGTCCCTGGATAATGTTGCAGGATCCAATCTGGGTCAGTCACCGAGACCAGAGGTTTTTGTCTTCCGAGCTTTCCTAGTGGAGCTGGAGCCCACCCTCAGGGAACTTCTCTCTAGCAGGGTGTGTGATTTGGGCTGTTCTGTGTTTGATATTTATATTGTGCCTGGTTGTGTGCAGCTTTTTAGTTGTTGATTGAGGTGTTGATGACTGGCTATTAAGTTATTGGCTGTTCTTAGTAATGTATTTTTTAGTAAAAAAAAGTATTAGCAATTTATTTAAGCATAAGAATGAGAAGACATAGAATTAATTGGGAAACCTAGATAGATATCGTTCCTTAGATTCAGAAGTAAAAGAAATTGTTTTTTCTTTAACTGTCCTTCCATTTAAAATAAGTTGTTATTATCCTATAAAACAAATTGAAAGAACTACTGCAGTATAACTACCACTGGCAGTAAAAATATTATTACTTGTTAGTCTCATAAACTGAGTAAAAAATTAATTGATTGTTTCCAGTAAATTTGGGGAAAGAGAATGCATAATGATGGCCAAAACAGCAACCATAGTTAACAGACTAAATATTATACACAAATTGTGTTCTATAAATCAGTAAATGTCAAGTCAAGATCAATATTTACAAGTTGAAATTTTGCATATATGATATCGAGCACAAATACTTGCTTATATATAAAGTATAAGACTTTGTTGCCTGACAAAGTTAGTGTTAGATGATAAATCAACACAGAAAACATGTAAAAATAATCTAAACAGGTAATAATTTATGCCTAATTCAGATAAGTACCAGTAAATAGATTTGTTTTATATTCAAGCAAATGCCCAAATAAAAAAAACAAGAGCAAAAGTTTCTAAGCAGAACTGATTGAGGATAAAGATATATTCACTTATAAACATTCACTTATATTGAATAAATTCTGTTCCATGCAATTGTAGGTAAATGAAGTATACTCTTTCATATTTGTAAATCAGAACAGGCTCTAAACCTTCTGTTATAAAAGTTTATAATATGTATTTCATGTATCCTGAGACTTAGGAAATATTTTCGCTGGCATTGTTTTCCTTTTCTTCTTACCCAGATTTTTTGTTTATTGAATTCATTTTAATCACATTATTGAGAAAATTAAATATTTACTTTGATTTTCAAAAAATGAAATGCTTTACCAAAAGAATTGGAAAAGTGCAACATTGATTTAACAATATGAACCATTAGATCTGAGTATAAACCACTAAATGAAGTCATTGACTCTTAAATAATACGCTAATAGCTTTCAGTAAGTTATCTTTATAACTAAAGCAGTATCCTGTATTAGATGAGTGAACCAACACAAACAACACATGTTCCTGTATACTTCACCTTCTGAAATATATTCCTGTTCTCTCCAAAGTCTGTTCTGGAAGCAGCTGAGCAATAGGCGGGCTTCCTGGAATAATGGCTTAAGAGAACTGGAAAAATAGCGGTGTCATAGTGCTGCAACCAAACACTAGGCAGCAGATTCAGATCTACATTAGTGCTGGCACAGGAGAAGATAGGATTCCATCTAACTAACTTTTAGGAAATTTGCAGTATTGTTTTCTTTTACTGTTGTCCAATAATCTGTTTTCTACCAAACCTACGAAAAATAATCTTAAGAAGTCTTTTATCTTAAGAAGTCTCCATACATTGTTCTTAATTCATGCAAAAGTCAGACAAATTTACAACGGATTTATGTTTATTATAAGGTACATCCTTTTAAAAGTTATATGTTATTAAAAGTAACATTATATAAGAATAGTAGATAAATTGGATTTGAAATGTAGTAATTGAAGGAACATTACCACAGAGTTACAGTAATAGAAGTTTTAAAAACAAATAATTTCCTACCTGAAGATAATTTGGTAGTTTTCTGCCAATGAATATACCAGGGATTCTAGAAGGTTATGCCCTCAAGGTATAAGAGTTATCTTGTAGATATAAGCATTTCATGAAGTATAATTTGCTGCAAAAGGTTCTGGAGAATGAAGTATTCCTTGTTGAACAGAATAGATTATACAAGTAAGGGTGTAATTTTACTCTGGTGAAATTATGTGGCTTAACTCTCCTTCTCTAATTTTTGGTTTGAGGTGTGGTAGGAATTTCCTTCACTTGAGGGGATGGTTGAAGATTATTTTTAGCATTGACCATCAAACTATGCTTGCTTCCTTGTCAGTACCGGTTCTTATGTTCATTCGATTGTTTACTCAATGAAAATCCAAGAAAAATATATTAGTATTCAATCTTTTGCAAGGGCATTTAATGTTCATATTTTAAAATGGTTAAATATTTAACATTCCAGTTGAGTTTTATACCTCTTACAAACAAGATGATTTTTTTCTGTTTCATGTCAGTTGTAACATAACTGAGTCCTGAGTGTGGGAACTTATTTTGTGAAAATACAAGTAACAACTGACATAATTGAATGCATTGACAGTGTAATTCTGTGTATACTTTTCAGACACTTAAGTAAAACTTATTTCATAATAAATAATGTTTAGCCTTGCAGTTCTAATCTTAATTTCAGAAGTGGATGTTAAGTAAATTAATCATTATTAAGTTTCTTTACCACTTATATTTTGTCTGTCTGTCCATCTGTCCTGGATGCATAAGCCGCTTCAATCAGAACTGGCTTGAATGGAATATAATTTCTCATCTATAATTCAGAATAAAACAAAAGCAGAATACAAAATACAACTGATAAAATGACATATATGAGACCATAGGAATAAATCACACTCAAGCAAGCTATAGTTAAAATAGCTTCCATTGCTAGAGAGAACAATTGTTCCACCCTCCACCCACCCTCCAAGGCCATTAGCAAAAGGGAAGAGGCAATTTGAATGTCCCAGGAGTTGCTATTCCAATGGAGGGGATAGCGATAAAGAAAGCATCCATCCACAATCTATGAGTGATAGGGCATGAAGAGAGCCTATCCTACTTAAGATAGGCAGGTCTTATTGAGAATGTCCAGTCCCATAGATATCCAGGTCCCGAACTATGAAGGATTTGAAAGATGTTAAGCAACACCTTGAATGGCTCCCAGAAGCCAATTGCTAGCCATCTTAACTCCCAAAGTGCCAATGTTATATGGGCACATTGAGGGGCACTATGATTGAGCTATGCATTGTGCATCAGGTTCCAAATGGCCTTCAAGGATAGTTCTATGAAGAATGCATTGCAATAATGCAACTAGCCTCAGTAATTGTGAATACAGCCTTCTGTTTGAGGAGATGGCATAACTTATATAATTTTATTGAAATTGTCATAATATAAAATACAAATGAAATAAAGATAATAGGGAAACGAGAGAAGGAAAGGAAGGGAAAGAGAAGTATGGGGTCAGGGAAAAAGAAAACATCTTTAATTAAAACAGTTAATATAGCCATCTCAGTTTTTCTATCCATTCTTCCATTTTGGGGTTATTATACCTTACCATTTTTGTGCGTAAATAATTTTTGCTGCAATAAGCATATACAGTAGCAAAATTCTAGAAGTTTTTTCAAATGCCTTGTCCATCGGGGGGGGGGGAATATAACTGACATAGTATACATATGATACAAAGACTTTTGAATATAATATTGAGATGAAACCAGAACTCTTTTTATTGGGACTGATGGATAGTCAATTAAAAACACTTATGGGAGACTGGTTTTCTATATGATAACTGTAGCAAGATTATTATTTGCACAAAGATAGAGAAATGTTGAAATATCCACAATAGAAGAGTGGATTGTGAAGATGGTAGAATTAGCTGGTCAGGGAACAGAGCAATAAGTACCTTTATAAGAGCCTCAAAATCTTCTATGGACTGTTTGCTGAAAATGGGGGAGAAAAGTGAAATTGAGATTTCTGAATTTGATGATT